GCTCTTGCACATAATTTTCCCATGAGAGGGGACCTTCACTTTCTCTTCTGGTGAGGAAGGTAGGAACATTTATCAGTATCCTGGGTGTTAAATTGTGCTAAAACAACAGTTTCATCATTTCAGTAATGCAGGCTGACATCAATTTTCTGACACCAAGTGTCTTACACTTCAATTCAATTCAGTTCTGATACTAACTACCCAGCGTTAACATCAGGTCCCACAAGTTAAAGGGCAAACGTATCCCACAAGACTGTCCTCAGTTCAAACACCACCTGCAAGTGGCATTTCCCAGGCTACTCATACTTCTGCCTGGCTAACTATAAATTCACACACCCCTTCAGGTTTGATAATTCATTACAATAACTCAGAACTCATGAAAGCACTATACTTATGATTGCCATTTTATATAAAGGATATAATGAACAGTTAGATGAAGTACATAGAGCAGGGTCTAGAAGGGATAATTGTGACAACTATCCACAGATTACAAAACATATAGTATGATGCTCTATGTGTGTGTGTGTGTGTGTGTGCTTATATAAAGGTATTTGACTAGATTCACTGTAGAATGTGGAGGATGGCCCTGAATAGTGTGGTTTTCACTGAAGTTTTGGATGATTCTGATCCACACCAGAATTTCAGGATTATAGAGGTCATCTATTTTCCTAGTCACTCACTTCAACTTCCTTTATTGCCTCTCCTTAATATCTGTGGTTTTCCTATTAATTTTACAAATTGGTTAGCCATATTTGAGAACTGTCTAAGCACTTACTTGCCTAGGCATTATTTTTAGCTTAATCTTTGGATTTCTTTTTCAGAAGTTTAACCTGTTCCAGAATAGGAAAAGTGAATGTATGCCTTTTTTCTTTCAGATCTGGAATCCATGTGTGAGACGAAGTTATTATCTCTAAAGAAGAGACACTTCAGTCAAGTAATATTTACCCATGAAGACATACCCACTTTTATTCAGCCCACATTTCTTATTCCACATCAAAAAACTATTCATGAAGAGAAACCCTGTGAATGTAAGGTATGTGGAAAGGCCTTTAATCAAAATTCACACTTTATTCAACATCTGAGAATTCATTCTGCTGAAAAAAACTATGAATGTAAGGAGTGTGGGAAATCCTTTAGTCGTGGCTCACTTGTTACTCGGCATCAGAGGATTCACACTGGTGAAAAACCCTATGAATGTAAAGAATGCGGCAAGGCTTTTAGTTGCAGTTCATATTTTTCTCAACATCAGAGAATTCACACTGGGGAAAAACCGTATGAATGTAAGGAATGTGGAAAAGCCTTTAATTATTGTTCAAACTTTAATG